TTTAAACTATAAATACTACACAGTATTACATAAAAATAACTCAATTTTTATGGCAAACAAATGGATGCATAGAATAGGAGACAAAGTGTCACAACGTTTGAGAGGCTATTTTATGGCTGAGTTTATCACAGTTTTGATACATTTACACCATTTATAGCAATTATCACAAAGACATTAAAATGAGTTATAATTATATTATTAGAGTATTGTTAGACTATATATTTGACTAAAAGTGTGTTATAATGTATAAAGTAATGTAAAAATGACAAATGTATATAAAATGTGTTACAAACCTAATCTGAGTTCACCGAAGTTACCGCTGCCTATCTTTTTGCCCACTTTGAAGTTCGGGCCAACCATTAGGACACCCGAGCCGTTAGTGCCCGCAGAGCCTCTTCCCTGTGCATGCATTATATCCTCAATCGTGTCGTGTCGTCACTTCTTTGTCAAACAATATATCCGTCACTTCTTATCACTAATGAGTTGTGCTTTTAATCCGATTTAGCGTTCATTTAGTGTACAATTAGTTGATCGCTATTTAATGAACTCCCATATAATTAACACAATTATTGCCACAAATTGTTATTATCGACGGATAGGTTGACCGTTCACTTCAACACCAATTCGTTAATTATTATTATTATTATTAAAATAAAACCAGATTTGCATTAAACTAAAGCCTAAAATAAGATACAAATTGAAATTAAAGGTAACAAAAGGTTATTTTGAGTAAACATTACATAATGGGAGCAAACAATGCCTTTATGTGAAAGACAGTGCATTTAAATATGACATTCAATTCAATTATAGTAACAATCAATTGATTAATCCATTAGTGGATTAACACATCAATGGCTTAATAATGATATGAAATGTTTAGTATTTATTCAATCAATACATACTTAAGTGCTGTGAATGTCTTTCATTGAGTGAATGTCTGCCAAAATGGCGATCAATTCACTCCTCAATGGCTCTCAATGTATAATACAGTGAGAAATGAATGCAAAAACCGGTCAACAAATGCCATACAAACTGACAACACATTCACTCATCAAATACTATATTCAATGGTTTGACAATTAGTGTCCACTAAATCACACATCCATTCAATGTTGGATACAATCAATGAAATACATGTCTGAGAGTGTGGTGTGAATGACGTTAACGTTTGTCTCTATTTTAGTGATCAATGCATTAATGCATTCAATGAGAGACTAAACCAATGCTCACAACACAAACACTCACTCCTCACCGCCCAATACAGTACAGTCTATACA